TAAAAAAATTAATGTGACCTTGACCTGACCTTCGCTACGCAACCCAAGGTCAAACTGATGTGATCAGTAAATACATCTTTTTAAACGCCACAACTTTTATCTGAAACATTTTTTTCTAAAATGCTTAGTTTTCGAGATATTTCACCGGTCCGGGACTTTTTGAACACCCTGTATATGTACGGTTTACCATATTTCAATAGATGGATTAGGTTAGGTTAGGATTAATTTTTTTTGGAAAGAGGGTGCGGGGAGAGAGGCAGCGCTCTTCCTCCGCGCATATATATACGTGTATTATTTACCATATTTATGTATACTGTGTGTATACTGTGTACCAAAATTACGTTCCATTTATAAAACTTCTTTTGTTAATATCTTTTCAATAAATAATGAACGCCGACTAAAACCATTCAAAATTCAGAATGATGTTCTTGACAACATATCTCAAAGTCAAAATGATTGGAGCTGGGTCTCTTATACGGAATATTTATCTTTTTTTAAATTAATATCTTGATAATTATTGCGAATATCGCAAAACGATATAGAACTTTTATGTTCATCTTAATCCGTACTATGCCACTACGAGAGATTCGAAAGTTGTCCTGGGACATTCTGTGTGTATATATACGTATGTATATGTACAAGGTGGGGTATTTAACTTGAGACATCGAAATATTTCGAAAACTATTAGAGTTATAAAAAAATGTTTCACACAAAAGTTGTAAGGTTTAAAAAGGGATAGGTTTAAGTGATTTTGACTCTGACCATGGCGGCCATTGTCAAGATTATTTCAAGGTCACGTTGATTTTTTTAAATGGAACTTTATACTTTATACTGCATATTCTTGTAGCTTATCTCGAGAGCATTTCAAAACTAATAAAATATGATAGTGCGCGCGCGCGCTACTGTAGTTCCAACTCAAACACCCGCATGGAGACACAGATCACACGGCTCGTCACTTCACGTATTTTTGGATTTCACGCACGATCGAATGATTCTGACTCAATCGAATAATTTTCACTCAACCTACTTAGTTTCAAAAGATTCATCAGTTTGTACATTCAGATTGTGGATTTCAACACACGTTTCGAAGATGTATCTAAGACCAGTCAAACGTTTGAGTTGTAACAGCAGTAGCACACACACACACAAGAGATGTAAATCCGACCGTACAATCTCCACGCGGTACATTTTGAATAATGCTAATGCCGGCGATATTGTAACTTTCAAGTCTTATAACTCAAAAAGTACTTAATGAAAAAATACTTTATCAAAGTGTTTTGAAATGCTTTCGAGATAAGCTAGAAGAATATGCACTAAAAAGTACGAGATTCAATTTAAAAAAATCAACGTGACTTTGAAATAACTTTGACAATGATCGCCATGGTCAGAGTCAAGGTCACTTTCAGATGTCCCCTTTCGAACTTTACAAATTTTGTCTAAAACATTTTTTTATAACTCATAGTTTTCGAAATATTCCAATGTTTCAAGTTAAATATCTTACTCTGTATATACAGGGTGTCTCAAACAGATCGGGACCATTAAAAATCTCGAAAAATATAAGTTTTCAGAAAAGTGTTTCAGACAAAAGTTAGACAAATAGGGTTTAAAACAATCTGTTTACTGATCTTATCAGTTTAACTTTGGATTGCGTCATCAAAGTTAGGACAAGGTCATCTTGAATTTTTTAAATGGTACCTCCTATTTTTTATTGCATATTTTTATAACTTATCTCGAGAGTCATCCAAAACACTATAATAAAATATCTTTTCGTTAAGTACTTTTCTAGTTATGAGACTTGAAAGTTGAAATAGTATCGTTGGCATTAGCATTATTCAAAGTATACCACGTGGAGGTTGCGCGGTCGGATTTACACATCTATTGTGTTGCGTGTACATGTGAGAGTATGTGAATGTGTGTATAACAGAGATAAGAATTCTTATAGTTCGTCACTCCTATAGTATTTAACAACTCCAAACCTTCTCGCGTATTTGTGCGCGCGTACGTTTGGAGTTCTTAAATAGAGGAGTGACGAATCATAAAGTCCTCAACTTTGCTATACATACATACACACACACACATACACACACACGAACACGTGTACGCACACACACACACACATACACGCGCGCAACTTCCACGTGGTACACTTTGGCTAATGCTAATGCCGACAGTACTGTAACTTTCAAGTCTCATAACTAGAAAAGTCCTTAACGAAAAGATATTTTATTATTTTTCGCAACATTTAAAAATACTTAATAAAAAGGAATCAATTATTTAAGGGTATCGGGTTTGGGAATAAAAAAATTCGCGTTAAAAAAATACTAGGACACAGGATCGGTCTAAGTGTGGAAGGTTAATTCACCGCGTACGATTACCGAAAGAAAATTTTGGACGTACATCTGACACGTTGGACAATTTTATCCTCCCATAATAAACTTTAATATTACACGTATGTAATATTAAAATAACATTACTACATCTGTGTTCACTCCTCATAAGCATTAGAAACTTTGTTAGTTATTTGAATAATATAAAGGAGGTTCATATATAATTTAGTTTATATTTTATTATAGTGTTTTGGAAAGCTCTCGAGATAAGTTACAAGAATGTGCAATAAAAAATATGAGGTTCCATTTAAAAAATTCGAGGTGACCTCGTCCTAACTTTGATGACGCCATCCAAAGTCAAACTGATAAGATTAGTAAATAGATCATTTTAAGCCATATAACTTTTGTCTGAAACCCTTTTCTGTAAAACTTTTTAATATTTTTCGAGATTTTTAAGGACCTTTCTCTTAAGGATTTTTCTCGACCTTTTCCGAACACCCTATATACACACACACATACACACACATATATATATATATATATATATATATATATATGTGCGTGCGTGCGTGCGTGCGCGCGTGCGTGCGTGCGTGTGTGTGTGTGGGCGTGCGTGCGTGCGTGCGTGCGTGCGTGCGTGCGTGTGTGTGTGTGTGTGTGTGTAGAGTAATCTATTTTAATTAGTATAGTCGAATATCTCTGAAACTGGTTGTAACAAGAAAAATGTTTCAAACAAAAGTTAAAAGATTTTGAGGGGAACAAACTATTATGATATTAACTTCCGCTTTGAGTTAAAAGTAGATGATAATAGTATCAATTTGGAGACAGAATAGAGAATATAGATCGTGTGAAATATTATCATAGAATAAATCTTTTGAAAACAAACGGTTTTCTTAGTGTGCCATACGTGAGCATTCGAGACATATTTTTATTTAACGCACCGTTTCATCAGTAAATTGTCTAATCTTTAAAAATATATTTCACGAAAAAAAAATTGTCCATCAAAGACAATAAAGAAAGATTTTTTTTATATTCCTAATAATAATAACGACCTTGATTTTTTAATTCAACTCCTCCCTACTCTCGGCGTTATGCAGGATCAACGGCGTGGCGTCGCAGGAATTTAATCCCATATTTTTGTCTGTCAGTCAATCGATCCGTCGGTCGGTCTGATAGTCAATCTATCCGTTAGTTAATCCGTTTGTCAATTAATCAGTCAGTTTATCAATCTGTTATTTAATCAGTTCGTCAGTTAATCAGTGAATCTATTGTATCGGTATAAATAATAATATTATATCGGTATAAATAATAATAATATGAATGATAGAATATGAATAATATAATTTTATTAGTTATGCTAAAGGGATTAGGACCGAAGACCGTTATTTCTTCTCTTTTATAATTCAAAATCCTTTCTTTAGGTGAATGATGTGCGTTTATTAGTTATTTGAGAACTTATGAAATGCTCAAAAACAAATTTATTTTGTTGAAGACAAAGACTATACGCTTATGAAACGTTCTTTTAGTTTTTTTTTAATACTGCCGAGAGCAGGGAGGAGTTAAATTAAAAGATCGAGAACGCTGTCATCATCTGGAATATAAAAAATCTTTCTTTACTTTAACGGACAAAAAATTTTTTTCATGAGATTTTTTCATTATTTTTTCAGGATTGGATAACTTGTACTAATGAAACAGTTAAATAAAAAATGTTTCAGATAAAACTTGTATATTTTTAAAAAAATTATTCTATGATAGCTCATACGACCCAATTTTCCTATTCTGTTTTCAAAGTTGATACATTACCTATTTCCGATTCAAATTAGAAGTTAATAATGTCATTATTATTTGTTTCCCTCGAAATCTTTTGTACGAAATATTTTTTCGTTACAAGTTTCAGAGATATTCGACTATATTGATTAAAATGGATTTCCTATATATATATACATATGTATATATATATGCATATATATACGCACATATTTTGTACATACGTTTACATACATACGCAAATACATATTATTGTATGCCTGCTTAGCTATCGTAGAAGAATATGTAATGCAAGATTTATACAAATTTATTTTTATTGATTTACATACTTAACGAATGTTATATTGATTATTTTCGAGTACATGTAGGCTTATACGGATATGCGGAAGTCTGTGATATTCTGAAACAAAATAGAAAATGCATAAATAGAAATACACATGTTTTGAACTGTTTTATGGAGAAATATATTTACAAACGTATAATATAATTATAATTTGACTTAGAGAAACAAGACTAGCCGCATGTTCGGAGGCAATGTTGCTTAAAGGCAAAATAATACATGAGATTATCTTTTCGATATAAATATACCAACAACTAACGTGTGATACTCTATCTATATTAAATTTTTTGCATATGCATATTTTTTTAATATTGAATGATGATTCATATAATTTATGTCGTAAAACTGTATCAAAACTATCTCGCATATATATTACAAGTAAAAAAATAACTTAACAAATTACATCTCTTTTAGATCGAAGATAAAGCCAGTATTATACCCTTAGTCGCTGGTATGCGTAAAGATGTCCTGTTATTGATCTCTGAGGTGAGTTAATATATGCAAGTAATATTATTAATATCTGTTATTCTATATGTATCTATGTTTATATAAAACATTATATTATACATTTTTTTAAGTTGTAACAATATATTATCTATACACGGTGATCCCATTCTCAAACTTTGCGAGAGCGCAGAACAGATTGAGGTGAGCAAGAAAGTCCCATAATATCATTTTGCGATATTCACAATAGTTTTCGAGAAATTAATTTTAGAAAATTGTGCGAAAAAAGGAGGAGCACTCGAGCCGCTGAAGTTGCTTAAGGCCTTATGCGTCAAGAACGGGTTTCAATTGGTCAAGAAACGGATGGCGGCGCGTGACGAGGGGAAGAACAACGCGTGCTTATATTGCTGCACTCCGTCTTGCCGCATTGCGCTGAGACGAGTAACTGAAACATGCTAGGCCTTGAACAACTTCAGCGGCTCGAGTGTTTCTCCTTTCTTTACGCAATTTTCTAAAATTTTCTCGAAAACTATTGTAAATACCGCAAAACGGTATTGGACTTTCTTGCTCACCTCAATCCGTTCTGCGTTCTCGCAAAGTTTGAGAATAGTGATCTGAGACATCCTATATATGTATATATAGGTGTCCCAGACTCTTCTTCTCACATTAAGTGGGAATGTAGAGTGGGTTGAGGTAAACATAAAAGTTCTATACCGTTTTGTGATATTCGTAATAATAACCGAGAAATTAATTGTAAAAGATTAAGGAAAAACGCACCTAGTAATATAGGGGTGTATATCAGTTGGACACGGGGCAATTGGACACAGTCCAATCACAAGTCGCTGTTCCAAGGGACCCTACAAATGTCTCTAATCACACGGTGCTGTGATTGGCTGTGTCCAAATGCACCGTGTCCAAGTGCACCGCTCCCGTAATATAGCAAGTAGATGTCAGTACGCGTCTATATCACTATGATCCTATATCTTTACTGCGCCGAGGCGAGATATAGAAATGCAACAATATAAGTATAGGCAATGGTGCATTGTTTTTCCAATCACCGCGCGCCGATATCCGTGCACTATATTATTAGACCATGAGTGCTTCTCCCTAAATCATTCAGCGTGCGTTTTTCTTTAATCTTTTACAATTAATTTCTCGGTTATTATTGCGAATATCACAAAACGGTATAGAACTTTTATGTTTATCTCAAGCCACTTTACATTCCCACTTAATGTGAGAAGGAGAGTCTGAGACACTCTGTATATGCAGATTTACCACTGTTGTGTCAAACGTCAACAGAATATAGAGGACACTTCGGGGAATAATTTTTGTTCTGTAAATAGATATACGTAGGTACAAAGTTATCATCATGTTATGTTTGGTCGCCGTCGATTAGACAATCCGTGCTATAGCACTACGACAGTTGTGAATGAGCAATGTAGGGCATTTTATATTCGATAATGGTGTAACAGATTCCTTTTATTATGGTTAGTTCTACAAAAAGTGCTCGAAGTTGTAGGTCCGATCTCTCATGTGCCGGGTTATTGTTTGCAACAAAGCTGACGATCGTCACTTCGAGTACCTTTGTAGAATTAACCCGTAACAGGTACCATGCCTTTTTAGTCAAGCTACGAGTACGATGGGATCTGGCGGACCCCAATAAATTTTTGCCATTTTTAACATGATAATAAAAGGTAGGAAGAAAAACGCTTTATAGTTCGTAAATAATAATTTATTAGTATTATATTATAACTAGATATTTATAACAGCCTTAGTTTTTCAGTACTCTAAAAAAAACATAAACTGAATATAAAATGAATACAATGTGGACAGTGTCGAAATAAAATACACTGAAAGACAAATAATCGGAAAAAGAAAAAAAAATTAATGTTTTAATCTAAGTTTACAAATTATAGATTATATAAAAAATATAAACAAGCATTGTTAAATTAAATACAATATTAAAATCTTGGAAGGTTTTTAGATGCAATTGTTACAGATAGTGCTTGCACATTTGGTGCATACTGGTTCATTGCATCTAACATATACTTCTTTGGACTTCATATCTTCTAAGACATTTATTACATCTTACTCTGGATGGCAAAATAATTTAGATTTTTCAGTTTCTTCAATTTTTAAAATATATGAAATTATTAAACGCAATGGCTTATGAATATGTTGAGTGGTAAGACATCTCTTAAGTTCAGGTTCTACTAACTGGCAAGAGTTTTTACTCTTTTGCGTGAAGAATGAGTTTTTGCGTGATATTGAGCTGAAGATTAAGAAAATTATTTTCATAAAAGTAACGTTAACAGTACCATGGGATCACTGTGACCCCAGACGAAAAACAAATGCATATAATTCACAGCTACTTACAAATAACTCGATGATCTTTTCTTCTGTCATACTGAAAACTGTTACTTGAAAGGCACTGAAGATATTAGCGCCAGTGGTTAATTATCATAAAAATAAAATTAGCTCAGGTCCTTGGGACCCTATGGTACTTGTTATGGGTTAACCATAATAAGAGGAATCTTTTATATCACTATCAAGTGCAGAATGCTTTACACGATTCATTCACAGCTGGCGTAATACGGGTTTAATCCATCACGGCCGAATGTAGCATGATGATAGCTTTACGCATACTAACTACGCATTTATGGACCTACGTTTATAGGGCAAAAATTGTTCCTCGAGGTGTCTTCTATATTCTGTTGATGTTTGATACAACAATGATAATTTACTCTATATATGCAGGGTGTTTAAAAGTTCAACCAACAAACTTTGAGAGATTGTTGGGGACACTCCAAGGATTATTTTTTGCAAATGATCTTGGGATCGAAAATGGATCGTCACATCGTTATGACGGGAATGTCAGCGGTGCAAGGCAATTCGCCATGCATGTGATATCACAAACTTCCAGTTCGGACAGTGCATGAAAAATTGCCACAATTAAATCATAGTAACCGACTACCTGTAGGTTTTGGGGCAAATAATGCATCGTGCATTGTCCGAACTGGGCTATATACGAGGGTATATGATAAGTATCCATGTTAGGGAAGGAAACGCATTTAAAAAAATTTTTTTTACTTATTTTTCAACATCTCCTTTCAGCTCGTTACACTTAATCCAGCGATATTCCAACGTTTTTATACTATCTAAAAAATTTGATTTGTCGAACTCCGCAAAATAGGCTTCTGTTTCGGCGATGACTTCCTCGTTTGACGTGAACCGCTTTCCGTCAAGACATTTTTTCATGTTTGGAAATAAATAGAAATCGCAGGGAGCTAAATCTGGAGAATAGAGTAGATGCAATTCGTAGCGTAATTCGACTAGTTTTGCTGTGGCAATTGCGGACGAATGAGCTGGTGCGTTGTCATAATGAAAAAGCACTTTTTTCTTCGCCAAATGGGGCCGTTTTCTCTTCAATTCAGCATCGAATCAGCCTAATAAATCAACATAGTACTGCCCCGTGATTGTCCTTTCCTCCTCCAAATAGTCGGTGAAAATGATGCCTCGCGAATCCCAAAAATCGGTGGCCATGATCTTTCCGGCCGATGGAGCTGTTTTTGCCTTCTTTGGAACAGATTCGCTGAAGTCCACTGTTTTGACTGTTCTTTTGTTTCTGACGTGTAGTAATGGATCCATGTTTCGTCAACAGTGACCAAACGCTGCAGAAACTCTTTCGGATTGCACTTAAACATGTTCAAACAGTACTCCGAAGTTGTCATGCGATTCCGTTTTTGTTCCACTGTGAGCAAACGCGGCACCCATCTTACCGATAGCTTTCTCATGCCTAATTTTTCGTGTAGGATATTTTGTACGCGTTCAGTTAAGATATTTACAATGTCAGCAATCTTTCTGATCTTCACCCGGCGATCTGCTAACACGATATCATGGATTTTGTTGACCATATCCTCCGTAGTCACTTCAATCGGACGACCTGGGCGCTCTTCATCAAAAATGGATGTTCGGCCACGCTTGAATTAAACCAATATCTGATGGTAGTTATCAAAGGTGCATGGTCCTTATAAACGGCATACAATTTCACTTTGATTTCCTCACACGTTTTCCTATCCAAAAAAAGGAATTGAATCACTGACCGATTGCTCTTTTTCCATGGTTGCAAACAAACATAAACTTGTCCACTTTCAACAGTTATCAAAACAAAACTACTCGATAAATCTGTCTGAAATTTTGACTGGTGTCGTTCGGAAGATGGCGTTAAACGATGGTATACAGACTTTGAGTGAGTGACGCCGTCAGTCGTTAAATACGGGTACTTATCATACAACTCTCGTATAGGCTGCGTTCCGAAATTCATTGCCAGTACTGAAAATCTATAGTTCATGTGACGTATACTATAGAATTTCAGCACTGGCAATGAATTTCGGAACGTAGCCTATATGTATATATAGAATATTCCAATAAAAGCACAAAATTTAACTTTTCAATAAAAGGCATAATTTATTCGAGAAATATTTATATTTTTATTTTAGTATAAAGTAGTAGAATATATACATTGCAATTAAGTGTGGAACTCAATATCTGCCAAATTCTCTCCCAAGATTCTGCACATTCTTGCTCTTTAGGCGAAATTTTCGATTACATTTTTGCATTGCGACTCAATTCCCGCAATAATGCGTCGAGTCTCCTCCTTTAGCTGAGGAATTTGTTGACTTATTGAGGTAGATGCGAGATTTCACAAAACTCTAAAGAAAGAAATCGCACGATTTCAGATCGCTATTGCGTGAGATGGTATGGCCAGGAAATTTCTCTTGCAACAACACATTTATTTCGCACATAGTGTGACAAGTTGCGCGGTTCTGTTGGAAATACGTGTCTTCCACAATTCACATTAAAATGAAAATGCATTTCATTGTTAAAGATTATTTTTTCCAAAAAATTTTTAGCCATCATTAGGTACATTTTATTAAGCCCTACAACTTTGCTACTTACATATTTTTCGCTACAGATGATCCTTTTCGAGATATTTCACCGTTTCCGGACTTTTTGCCAACCCTGTATATATATATATATGTGTGTGTGTGTGTGTGTGTGTGTGTGCATGCGCGTGCGCGCGTGTGTGTATGTGTGTGCACACACACACACACACACATATACATATATATCTATCTATTTATAGGGTATTGCACTGGTTTGGGAAAGCTACAAACTTGATCAATATGTACAACGTCTTTCCGAGGCCGTGGTTTCTTTTCAAGAAAGAGTAGAAGATCTCTTGGTTGTAGAGGAACAACTAGACGTTGACGTTCGTTCTCTTGAAACTTGTCCCTATTCTGCAAATACTTTTGCCGACATATTGTCTAAGATCCAGAAGTCAGTAGATGAATTGTCTTTGAAAAATTACTCTAACTTACATATATGGGTAGCAAGACTCGATGAAGAAGTGGAAAAAAATTTAGCTGCTAGATTAGAAGCTGGAATAAAAGCATGGACTGATGCACTAACAGGTCATAAAAAAGAGGTAGACTTAAGTATGGATACAGATGCTCCTGTACAGCCGACGCATAAACCTGGCGGCGATCCTAAGATTCAAAATCAGATTCATGAGGTCCGAATTACGAATCAAACTATGTATCTCTACCCCAGCATTGAAGACGCCCGATTTCAGATAATGCAACAATTATTTGCATGGCAAGCAATTGTTACATCGCAAATCCGTCTCCAAAGTTCAAGATATCAAGTTGGCTTAGATAAACCCGAATCAGGGACATATAGAAACTTGCTTACAAAGTTACCTTCTGGTAAACAACCACTGGAAGCAGCATATGAAGCAGTTGAATCTAAAATGAAAGATGTTGCTGATTACGTTGATCAATGGCTACGTTACCAAGCTCTTTGGGATCTGCAACCAGGCAATCTTTACGGCAAATTAGGGGAAAATATTAATTTATGGATGAAATGTCTCAACGATATAAAAAAAACAAGAACTACTTTCGATACTTCCGATACTAGACGTGAATTCGGACCAATGATAATAGATTTTGCAAAGGTGCAGAGTAAAGTTTCACTAAAGTATGACTCGTGGCATAAAGAAACTTTGGGTAAATTCGGGACGCTTCTTGGTAATGAAATGGCTAGTTTTCATGCACAAGTATCGAAATCTAGGAGCGATCTCGAGCAACAATCCATTGAAGCAGCTAGCACATCTGATGCAGTTGGTTTTATAACATATGTTCAATCCCTAAAGCGTAAAATGAAAGCTTGGGAAAAACAGGTTGATGTATATCGCGAGGGTCAAAGGATACTTGAACGTCAGAGATTCCAATTTCCTTCTTCTTGGCTGCATGTAGATAATATAGAAGGAGAGTGGGGCGCATTCAATGAGATTATCAAACGCAAAGATACTAGTATTCAAACTCAAGTTGCGTCCTTACAAATGAAAATTGTCGCCGAGGATAAAGCGGTTGAAACAAGAACTACCGATTTTCTCAGTGATTGGGAAAGGGGAAAACCTGTGGAAGGCCATTTGCGACCAGACGATGCCTTGCAACAGCTGCAGTTGTTTGAGAGTAAATTTGCTAGACTTAAGGAAGAAAGGGATAATGTTGCAAAAGCAAAAGAGGCGTTAGAATTACAAGAACCAGGTGGAATATCAACTAGTGAAGATAGAATGCAGGTGGTATTTGAAGAGTTGCAAGACTTGAGAGGAGTTTGGTCAGAATTATCAAAAATATGGGCTCAAATCGACGAAACGCGTGAGAAACCTTGGCTCTCCGTACAACCACGAAAATTACGTCAGCAATTAGATACAATGATGGCGCAATTGAAAGAACTTCCAGCCAGATTAAGGCAATACTCGTCGTACGAATACGTGAAGAAGATGTTACAAAGTTATACGAAAGTGAACATGTTAATTGTAGAACTGAAATCGGATGCACTCAAGGAAAGACATTGGAAGCAGTTGACGAAGCAGCTTAGAGTGAATTGGGTATTGAGCGAACTTACTCTTGGCCAAGTCTGGGATGTAAATCTTCAAAAGAATGAAGGTATAGTTAAGGATATTATTCTGGTGGCTCAAGGGGAAATGGCTCTCGAAGAATTTTTAAAGCAAGTGCGCGAATCTTGGCAAACTTACGAATTAGATTTGATAAATTACCAAAATAAATGTAGGTTGATACGTGGCTGGGACGATTTGTTTAATAAAGTAAAAGAACACATCAACTCAGTGGCCGCTATGAAGTTATCGCCATATTATAAAGTATTTGAGGAAGAAGCTTTGACTTGGGAAGAAAAGCTAAATAGAATCAATGCCTTGTTCGATGTATGGATAGATGTACAACGACGATGGGTTTACCTCGAAGGCATTTTCTCTGGCAGTGCGGATATCAAAACATTATTGCCAGTAGAAACGTCACGTTTCCAAAGCATTAGTTCTGAGTTTTTAGGACTAATGAAAAAAGTATCTAAGTCACCTATGGTCACAGACGTTCTGAACATCCCAGGTGTTCAAAGAGCGCTCGAACGTCTTGCCGATCTTCTCGGTAAAATACAGAAGGCACTAGGCGAATACTTAGAAAGAGAACGAACATCTTTCCCGCGCTTTTATTTCGTTGGCGATGAAGACTTATTAGAAATTATTGGTAATAGCAAAAATATTGCACGACTGCAGAAACATTTCAAAAAGATGTTTGCTGGCGTAGCCGCTATTCTGTTGAATGAAGATAATACTATTATTACTGGTATCGCATCACGTGAGGGTGAAGAAGTTATATTCCAGAGTCCAGTATCTACAATTGATTATCCCAAGATTAATGAATGGTTAACACTCGTCGAGAAAGAAATGCGTGTGACACTTGCTTCAAGCCTTGCGAAAGCTGTACAAGATATTAAACAATTCAAGGATGGTAATATAAATCCGCAGGCATTTATGACATGGTGTGATAATTATCAGGCTCAAATAATAGTTCTAGCCGCGCAAATTTTGTGGTCGGAAGACGTAGAAGCGGCACTTCACGAAGCACAAGCAGATCCAAGCAAAAATTCATTAGAAAGAGTTTTAGTACAAGTGGAAGGAACATTGAATGTTTTAGCTGACTCTGTTCTTCAAGAGCAGCCACCTTTAAGGAGAAAGAAGTTAGAACATTTGATTAATGAGTTTGTACACAAACGCACCGTCACCAGACGATTAATTGCTAATAAAGTTTCAAATCCCAAGGCATTTGAGTGGTTGTGTGAAATGCGATTCTACTTCGATCCTAGACAAACAGAAGTGCTTCAACAACTTACGATACATATGGCAAACGCTAAATTCTTTTATGGATTCGAATATTTAGGAGTGCAGGACAGACTTGTGCAAACACCTTTAACTGACAGATGTTATTTAACGATGACACAAGCTTTAGAGGCTCGGCTCGGTGGATCTCCATTTGGACCAGCTGGCACAGGAAAAACCGAATCTGTAAAAGCTTTAGGACATCAACTTGGAAGATTCGTATTAGTATTTAATTGCGACGAGACATTCGACTTTCAGGTATAAATATAAAGATCCGTTTGATAGTTTCGAAAATCAAAATAAATTACGTCATATTATTTTTATATAATTGTTATTTATTGCAGGCTATGGGTCGTATATTTGTTGGTCTTTGTCAAGTGGGTGCATGGGGTTGCTTCGATGAATTTAATCGTTTGGAAGAACGTATGTTATCCGCTGTTTCTCAACAAGTACAAACAATTCAAGAGGCGCTTAAAAGCCAGATGGAAGGCAAGAAAGAGGGGATGCTTTGTGTTGAATTAGTTGGAAAACAAGTGAAAGTCTCTACAGACATGGCTATTTTTATTACCATGAATCCTGGATACGCTGGACGTTCCAATCTACCAGACAATCTCAAAAAACTTTTCCGATCACTTGCTATGACCACACCCGATCGTCAACTCATTGCTGAAGTAATGCTTTTTAGTCAAGGATTCCGATCCGCAGAAAAGTTAGCGTGTAAAATTGTTCCATTCTTCAAGTATGTATTCAAATACATATTTTTTGTGTAGTTTTGTAAATTTTGTTATCGTTGCAATAAATTATCTTATGCTTTTTGTTTAGGCTTTGCGACGAACAACTTTCTAATCAATCGCATTACGATTTTGGGTTACGTGCCTTGAAATCTGTGTTGATATCTGCCGGGAATGTGAAACGTGATCGCATACAGAAAATTAAAGAGGGTATGCAAGGTCGTGGTGAAACCAATATCGATGAAGCCTCTATCGCAGAAAATCTACCCGAACAAGAGATTCTTATTCAATCTGTATGTGAAACGATGGTTCCAAAATTAGTTGCTGAGGATATTCCATTGTTGTTCAGTTTGCTTAGCGATGTATTCCCTAATGTAAATTACACACGCGCGGAAATGAAAGGTAAAATATTATTATATTAATAAGAAATTTACAAAAAAATTACCGAAAAAATGTACCAATTTTTAGGTAATATCTTTTTTTATATTTATGTGTCTCATTCTAGGATTGAAAGAACTTTTCTTATACTTATATGTCTCATTCTAGGATTGAAAGACCAAATTAGGAAAGTATGCGCCGAAGAATACCTGGTATGCGGCGAAGGAGATGAGCAGGGAGGTGCCTGGCAAGAGAAGGTAATATATTTCCTTAATAGCACATTTTTCTAAATGTGTTCATATGATTTATTAATTGACACTAATCATCTTTTTATACACTTTAATAACTTCACGAGATATGTATTAACTAAATTTTATATATATATATATAAATTTTAACTTATATATATATATATATAAATTTTATATATATATATAAATATTATTTAACAATGCTAAAGACTTAATTTTCATATTGTTTATGCGCACTAAGGAATCAGTCGGTGAGACGTGGGTAGAAAAGGTGAGATTGATATGATCAGATATATTCATGTCTCGTTGTTATATATTATATTTCAACTCTGTATCTTCATGAATGATTCACCATCACAATTAATGTTCATTCATAATTGTTGAGAAAAAATTAAGTTCCTTCGTTCGTGTGTGTCCCTTTGGTAATTTTTTTCGGTCCTATTTTCCTTTCGTCAAGTCTCTGATCGATAGTTTTTTGCTATCTCTTATTTATTTCGTTATTTGTCTAGGTGCTTCAATTGTATCAAATCTGTAATTTAAATCATGGCTTAATGATGGTCGGTCCAAGTGGGTCTGGCAAAACCATGGCGTGGAAAGTGCTGCTCAAAGCGTTAGAGCGATTCGAAGGCGTGGAAGGTGTTGCTCACGTAATCGATCCTAAAGCAATCAGTAAAGAAACATTATACGGCGTACTAGATCCAAATACACGCGAGTGGACGGATGGTCTCTTCACGCATATATTGAGGAAGATAATCGATAACGTCAGAGGAGAAATCAACAAACGACAATGGATTATATTTGATGGTGATGTCGATCCAGAATGGGTCGAGAACTTAAACTCGGTATTGGATGACAATAAACTTCTTACTTTACCTAATGGTGAACGTTTGAGCTTACCGCCGAACGTAAGAGTTATGTTTGAAGTACAAGATTTAAAATACGCTACCTTAGCTACCGTGTCGCGCTGCGGTATGGTTTGGTTCTCGGAGGATGTGTTGTCAACGGAAATGATATTCGAAAACTACATGTTACGTTTACGGAATATTCCATTGGAGGATGGAGAAGAGGATAATCTCGGCAAGAAAACTGCAGAAAAAGAAGATACTATATCGCCCGCATTAGCCGTGCAGAGAGAAGTCGCTAGTATCATGCAGAGTTATTTCGCACCCGATGGTTTAGTAGTAAGATGTTTGGAATACGCCATGAAACAAGAACATATAATGGATTTCACACGTTTACGAGCTCTCAGTTCCTTGTTTTCCATGTTAAATCAAGCTGTTCGCAATGTATTGCAATACAATCACTCTCACACCGACTTTCCTTTGCCAAGTGAACAGTTGGAACGTTACATGCCCAAATGCTTGGTTTATGCGCTCTTATGGAGCTTTGCAGGAGACGCTAAATTAAAAGTTAGATCTGACTTGGGTGATTTTATACGATCTATTACAACTGTACCTTTACCATCTCAAAATAACATACCAATTATAGACTTTGAAGTAAACATACACGGCGAATGGTTACCTTGGAGTAACAAAGTTCCTCAAATCGAAGTGGAGACCCACAAAGTAGCTAGTCCAGATATTGTTGTACCAACTTTGGACACTGTGAGACACGAAAGTTTATTGTATACTTGGTTAGCCGAACATAAACCTTTGGGTAAATAATTAATGTTACTTTTAGCGAGTAAACACACATTAATATCTATACGTATGTATTTAAAATTGTTTGTGTTTATAGTACTCTGTGGACCACCTGGTTCCGGCAAAACTATGACACTATTTTCCGCTCTGCGAGCGTTACCAGATATGGAAGTTGTTGGACTTAACTTTTCTTCTGCAACGACACCTGAATTGTTGCTTAAAACGTTTGATCATTATTGCGAATATCGTAAAACACCTAATGGTGTCGTACTTTCCCCAGTACAGTTGGGCAAATGGCTAGTTTTATTCTGTGATGAAATCAATTTGCCTGACATGGATAACTATGGAACACAACGTGTAATCTCCTTTTTGAGACAATTAGTAGAACATAGGGGATTCTACAGAACAAGCGATCAGGCATGGGTCACATTGGAGAGAATTCAATTTGTTGGTGCATGTAATCCACCCACAGATCCCGGCAGGAAACCCCTTAGTCATAGATTCCTGCGACATGTGCCTGTCATTTATGTCGATTATCCTGGAGAAACCTCTTTGAAGCAAATTTATGGCACATTCACGCGTGCTATGCTTAGGTAAGCTTGTTATTTACAAAGCTTTTATCATATTTATATTTGCTGATCGAAATATCTATTATATGGGAAAATTCATACCTTGACAAAAAAAAAAAAAAGAAAAATAGAAAGCACTCGCGCTGATGGTAGTCTACAGTCGACAGCTTTTTTACTAGCGCGTGTTATGATTGACTTCTACTTTTCTGTTAAGGTATGAATTCTCACTCGTACTTCAAACATACACTCTCTTCTCTTTTTCTTTTTTCCTTTTTTCGGCTCTTTTAATTTGTAGCTCAACTTTATGATTATATGTTAAGTAACTCTAGAGAGAATCTATAAAATTGCAGATTAACACCTTCCCTAAGGGGTTATGCGGAGCCGTTGACGAACGCAATGGTGGAGTTTTACTTAGCCTCTCAGGAGAGATTTACCCAAGATATGCAACCACATTACGTGTACTCTCCACGAGAAATGACACGTTGGGTGCGCGGCATTTGTGAAGCCATTAGACCGTTAGATAATCTCTCCGTAGAAGGTTTGGTGCGTTTGTGGGCCCACGAGGCTCTTCGTCTGTTCCAGGATAGATTGGTAGAAGATTCCGAAAGAGCTTGGACGAACAAGAACATAGACACAGTAGCGCTGAAACACTTTATGTCAGTCGATAGAGAAAAAGCATTAGCTAGACCAATCTTATACAGTAATTGGCTATCGAAAGATTATGTTCCAGTAAATAGACAAGAATTAAGAGACTACGTTCGGGCAAGATTGAAAGTATTTTATGAGGAAGAATTAGATGTGCCGTTGGTACTTTTTGACGAAGTTCTCGAACATGTTCTACGGATTGACAGAATTTTCCGACAGCCTCAGGGACACTTGTTGCTCATCGGTGTCTCTGGTGCTGGAAAGACAACTCTGTCGAGATTCGTTGCATGGATGAACGGTTTGTCTATCTTCCAAATTAAGGTATTTCTCTGTCACTTTATATCGTAACATGATATCTAACACTAGATGAACATATTTTTTTATTAATTTTCATCTATCCGAAAGGTGCACAATAAATATACTGGTGAGGATTTCGACGAAGATTTGCGTCAAGTATTGAGGCGATCCGGTTGTAAAGATGAAAAGATAGCTTTTATTCTTGACGAATCTAATGTATTGGATTCTGGTTTCCTTGAACGTATGAACACATTGCTCGCCAATGGAGAAGTACCTGGATTATTCGAGGGTGATGAGTATACGACGCTTATGACGCAATGCAAGGAGGGTGCTCAACGAGAAGGCCTAATGTTAGATTCTAATGAAGAATTGTATAAATGGTTCACCGGCCAAGTTATGAAAAATCTACACGTTGTATTTACAATGAATCCGAGTACGGACGGCCTGAAGGATCGCGCGGCAACGTCACCAGCGTTATTTAACAGATGCGTACTGAATTGGTTTGGTGATTGGTCCGACAACGCGTTGTTCCAAGTTGGCAAAGAGTTTACTAATCGCGTCGATTTAGAGAGACCCATGTGGAAATGTCCGGACTTTTTCCCGTCTGTGTGTTCTTTGATTCCATCGCAACCGTCACACAGAGATGCTGTTATAAATGCGTGTGTATACGTTCATCAGACGTTACATAAAGCAAACACGCGATTGGCAAAAAGAGGTGCCAGAACCATGGCCATCACGCCGCGCCATTATTTAGACTTCATTAATCACTTTGTGAAGCTGTATCAGGAAAAAAGAAGTGACTTGGAAGAACAACAGTTGCATTTGAACGTCGGTTTGAGTAAAATCGCTGAAACAGTAGAACAAGTGGAAGAAATGCAGAAGAGTTTAGCTGTAAAATCTCAGGTAAGGCAATTTAATTTTTAATAAATAACAAACATTTTTTTAGTATTTAAGAACATAATAGATGTCATGCATTATTTTAATAGAACGCCTAAAATAAAAAAAATTGATAGTCTTTATATGTAAGTAAGAAAATTGAATTGTTGTTTTAATTTAATATTTTTAATTAAAATGCTAAACCTACTAGGACTCAGAGTGTCTTTTGAATAATTTTTAGTGTTTATAGTGAACTTATGGTAGATATGTTGATATATAAAGCAGTGAAAAATATACTTGAAACAATTAACATTTATTTGAATGCAGTATATATTCTTCTGTGTATAACAATTACTACAATGTAAAAAAATGTTGTATTAAATACAACTGGAATTTGTTACATATTCTATTTTTTTTTTTTTTTTTTTTTTTAGGAATTGCAAGCTAAGAACGAAGCTGCCAATGCAAAATTAAGGCAAATGGTTAAAGATCAACAGGAAGCAGAAAAGAAGAAGGTACAAAGTCAAGAAATTCAGCAGCAATTGCGTATGCAAACGGTGGCTATTAATGAAAAGAGAGACGATGTTATGGCCGATCTTGCTCAAGTTGAGCCAGCTGTTATTGATGCCCAAAATGGTATGTATTTAACAAAAAATTTTTTATTGTATTATGATATTGATCTCCCCATGTATATTTTTAAGCCTATTAATTGTAAAATTTTATGAGAAAAATTTTATAATATTAAATATTACATTTCATGTCATACATTTTTAAGAAAATTATATTTATTATATTAATTATATTCGAAGATATCATATATCGAGTTATATGCTTCATATTTCAATATAATTATATTAAAAAAAAAAAAAAAAACGGAAAGACCACGTCATACATATGTTTGCGGTTCAAATTATTTTTATTTCGAAATCATGATATATTATAATCTTGATCTACGTGACGTGCTTGCATTGAAACGTTTTCAATGAGTGTAGCTGTGAAGGGAATTAAACGACAATATCTCGTTGAGATTCGATCTATGGCGAATCCCCCTGCTATCGTAAAATTGGCATTAGAGTCTATTTGCCTATTACTCGAGGAGAACGCCATAGATTGGAAACAGATTCGTACCATTATAATGAAGGACAGCTTTATTCCAACTATCGTCAACTTTAATACGGAGAACATCATGTAAGAAAATGGATACTGCTGAATATTCAACGTTCTTCGCTCGTGTGGGTTCTAATACAAAACACAAGCTACTGTTGATATGTGTTGAAATAGCTTGATATGTGTTCTATATTTCACTTAACAATTGTTCATTAATTTCAGCATATATATTTATGTTATTATATTCTTACAGCTGCATGGAGAACGTAAAATGATATTTAAACAGGATTTTTATTTTTGTCACGTGATTTTCAATAGATTATTTATGTAAAAATGAGACGTGATATATATATATATATATATATATATATATATATATATATATATATATATACAGGGTGTTCAAAAAGTCCCGGACCGGTGAAATATCTCGAAAACTAAGCATTTTAGAAAAAAATGTTTCAGATAAAAGTTGTGGCGTTTAAAAAGATGTATTTACTGATCACATCAGTTTGACCTTGGGTTGCGTAGCGAAGGTCAGGTCAAGGTCACATTAATTTTTTTAAATGGAACACCCCATTTTTCATTGCATATTCTTATAGCACATCTCGAGAG